CCTGACCTACGAACAATTTGACTTACGAACAGCTCCGGCTGCAAAATTTCGCTTTGACTTGCGGCCGGAGCTTTGACTTACGAACAAAAAAGGCAGGGGAAAAAGGCGGGAAATTCAAACCATTGGTGGCAAAGAGGCTGCTTCTTTGTAGCTCTTTCACCCCAACGGTTAGAGCAGGGGGTCAGGGAACTGGATGGGGAGTGCGGGCGGCGCAGCAGGAGGAAGGAGAAGCGGAGCGGCTCTGGATGGCGGCGGGACGCAAGAAGCCCATGCGCTCCCTGCCCATCCCTGGTGTGGGTCTACACATGAGTAAGTGCCGCTAAAGGCATGGGTCTACTCATGAGTAGGGGCCCCCTCCGCCATGGCTGGCCCCACCACTGCAGCTGCCCTATGGGTGCCGGTGCTTTGGAAGCCCTGGAAGCCTCCACAGAGGCAGCTGGAGCCCTGGCCTGGTAGCGTTGGCGGAGGCCAGGCCCTGCAGCAGCGGTTGGAGTCTGGGAGGCCTCATGACAGTGGTGGAGATAAGGTGCTGCCTTTTCCTTTTAAAAAAAGTTGTTCTGGGTGGGTTTTGGAGGGTAGGTTTGGGCTGGGGGGGTTATGTTTCTGTGTTGTTGTTTTTCTGTGGGTGGGCTGGTTTTTTTGGCAGTCCCAGCATGGGACTTGCTCCAATATTTATTTTTGGATTTGTTTGTTTTTTTGTTTTTATTTTTTGTTTGTTTTGTTTTGTTTTGTTTTTTTGCAGTCCCAGCGTGCGACTTGCTCTGTTTATTTTCTTTCTCTCTTTTTTTGGTAATTTTTTCTTTGGCCGTAACGGATTAATCGGTTTTCAATGCATTCCTATGGGAAATGGTGCTTTAATTTACGAACGTTTTGACTTACGGCCACCATTCCAATACAGATTAGGTTCATAAGTCAAGGCACCACTGTACTTTGTATCATGTTTTGACCCCAAATCCCCAGAGCATGGGATGCTGTTGACCTGACAACCCTAAGTATATTAGTTCACTTAAGCTTTTCTCTTTGGATTCTGGATAATAATTTTTTGTATTATGAAACTGAATAATCACGATAGAAACACTCAAGCACCAACAAAAAGGGCAAAAAATCTCCTTCCAAAGCTAGAAAACATCAGTCCTAATGGACAATTACATTCTATTTTTTCCCTCAAGGTTATAACCTTAACAATGATGAAAGCTGTTTTTCTTCTCTTACATGCTACATAAAAACAGCTTTGCTTTCCTTGATTGGGCTGGAAAGCTATATAAAGCAGTTTCGGCAGACCTGTAGCACTAGTTACAAAAGGATAAGTGTATGTTTGAGGGGGAAAGAGGTTGTGCATATACATCAATTCCATTTCCTTTTTACCAAACATATCTCTGAAGGCAGGATGTGATCCGGCCAAATGAAGGCTGCAGTATATCCACCCATCTTTAAATGCAGTGGGACATTAACATTAGAGCAGATCCGAGAATGCTACTAGACACCTGGTTCTCATTAAAGAGCTAAGTGTCTGCCAAAACCTTACCCACTGATGGGGAGCATTCAGATTGAAGCTTTATGGCTTTGTTGGGGAGCCATATAAAAGGCACATATTAACAAGATCTGTGGGGGATGTGTGGGTGAGGCACATGTAATGTGCTAGAAGATAACCCTCAACAGATACCTCTTACATTAGCCAGGTGTGTTTAACAGATTGGCTGAGGCTGGACCACTCTGAAGACATCACTTTCAGAATTAATTTTGTGAAATCATTGCTAGTCTGATATACTAATTGTTAGAGTACTGGACTAAGTTTTCCAGATAGTCACAAAGCTATGAAAATCTGAGGCTGAAATTTTGATGCTTAATATAGTAAGTCACAACTAGAATAGTCCTCTTGAATCAATGGAACTTACATATCTGTCGTTCCACCGAATTCCCAAAGATTGAGTGGACCTACTCTAGCTGCAGTGTATTATGCTAAGCAACAGAATTTCAGCCACTGAGCGACTTTAGACCAGTCAACAGTTCAGACCACATGTTAAGACAAATACATATTTGCTCCTTTGACAGTGTTATCCCCCCAGACCAAGCTCAGAAATCTTTCAAGACTCTGTGCCCAAAATGTCAGAGGAGCAAACATCATGCTATCCCTCAGCTATTACAACACAGAAGCACCCTCATTTGCCACATGCATGCTGACATAAGCTTGTACAAGAAGGAACAGGTAGCCTTTTGCTCCTAAGGCAACTCTGCTTCTAATGAGACAAAATATACTGTCTGCTTTGTTCCACAGTCTCTCAGTCTGATCCACTTATTTCACACAGTTGTTGTGAGGACACAGTGCAGAGGAGGAGAGTTATTTAAGTACACAGTCTTGAACTCACTAGGGGAAAGATAGGATATAAATATAACAAAATGTAACAAGCAGGTGACCCACAATGTAAAATAAATTCTATTTTCATTTATGCTTTAAAAGAAGTCCACACTTAGCAGAATTCTAAGAGCAGATTGGTTGATTTGTTTGTTTGTGGGACTATCAAACTAGAAGAGCACACACTCAGTCTGAAACCACAATTATTTCCAAACAATACACTAAAAAGGCATCATTTTATCCCTATATGAAAGACTGTTTGTTTCATCTGTTTTCCTAGCTGTTGCCCCTTGCAAATGCCCATGGTACCCAAAAAAAGGTCATCTAAAAATATATATCAATATGGTGGAGATACTAAGGCCAACTTTAATGTTTGGAATATTAGCCTACGCAACTGCCCATATGGCTGGCTGCCCTTTTAAGGCAAACATCTCATAATGTTTCAGTACATTAAAAGCACAAGTCTCGGTTATTACTTTTGCTTTTCATGACCTTCATTCCCAAAGCCCTCAGGTTATTATCCTTGCTACAATAATGCTAGCCTGGAAAGGCAAACATGGATTGCACTACAAGCATCCTGTATCAGTACACAAGAGGCTTGGGAAATGTTGAACTGTATGTACACATTCATCTTGGGAAGATACCATGGAGTTGGCGACTGGTGTTATTTAGTGATCTAACTTCGGACAGATGGCAAATAACAAGGCTCTGTCGAAAGTAATCAGCTGAATGAATATGCACTTGCTGCTGTGGCAAGCATTTGCCTGGGCCTTTCAAAGAAGGAAGCAAAAAGCAGACATTGGATGCAACTTTGACAACTACATTTACAGAGCAGGTACAGCATGACACTCCCAATGGAAACAGTGGTACCAGCAATGACAGTTGAAAGTTTCATTCCAGGTGCTTGTCCATGTCTCTTCCCATATGTTTCAGTTATGCCAAAATAAAATGGTTATTTATATGTCTGTGTATTGTATTTTCATGCCATCTTTCTCCCAGTAAAGGGAATGGATATGTCCAGTTCATTGTCATACTGACTATTTCATTGTGCCAATTCCACTTTCATTCAGCTGAATAAATATTGGACACAATGAAATTATATCTTCCACCTGCTTTTACTATTAATTATTATGAAATGTTACCAAGACATTTGCAATGTGTGCATGGGTAGCCACACCTTTAAGAGAATGCACAACATGGCTGATATTTATGCGGAAACAAATAGGGCTTCTCTCAAGACCTCTGCTTTATTGAAGACAAGTAATTTCCAAATTTAGATTTGCATCATTAACAAAGAACTCTTGAAAACTGTCATTTGCAAAAACAGCACACAGTAGCCTGGATTATATTGTTTTTTCAATTTCTTAACCATTAACCTATAATTACATTGTATTCCCTCTGCTCATTTTCTGTGATTCATCTCCCCGGGCAGTTAGAACTTTGTTAAAGCTGAAACAAATTATGGATACATGTCTGTGTCAGGACAGGGAGGAGTCTTGAGCAAATTCTCATAACTCTGATAATCTTGTAAAAATGTGAGCTTGTATACTCTTAAAACGATATGTTTGAAACTAGTATTAGGGGTGTCAGGATGTAACGTTTTCTCTATATGTGAGCACAGCTGCCACCGACCATGACATTTTTCCTCTGCTAAAGAGGAAAATCACAGCCACCACGGGCTAGAAAGGACATCATTATGATGTAGGTTCAGTCATGGAGTGACTCACAATTCAGCTAAAAAGCCACTGTGTCAAAAGTCTCTGTGTGAAACATGGTGGTGGCAGAAGCCAACAGACAGTTTAGAGAATCCTGGATACACAGGATCAAAGTGTAAAGAGCATCAGGCAAATGGGTAGTGAAGGAACACATAGAATTTTCTGTGGGCTTTCAATAATATTTATCAAAGCCATGAGGGAATGAATGGCCTTGAAGAAAGAACCTTTTCCACCATGATTCAGAGGCAAGTTAGCTGAGGAAGAGTCCAAGTGCAGTGAGCCCCAGGTACACGAGTCAAAATAATTTGAAGAACGGGCTAGTTGTAGACATTCCCGGTGGGTTTGGAGGCTGAGAGGATACCTTACCTGCAGGAATACTGTAAATACTGCTGCCTGTTCTTCAGAAAAATCAACTTTGACGTGTTGAAATTAGCTTTCTGACACTTCCTCTTCACCAAATGGTGGCTAATTTTCAGTGGCTCTTGGACAGTGCAGAAATAACAGGCAGGCAATAGCTGGACCTTGTTATATGTTACTGAGCTATGTTATTATCATTACCAATCTAGAGTAAACAGAGGGCAGTCATTTCATGTCCTCCAAAGCATTGACGGACAGTGGTGTCTCCTTCCCTGAAGAGAGGAAAAATTTGCAGTTCAAAAAATGGGGAAAGGGAGAAAGAATTTGATGTCCAGAATGCAAAGGTAACCTTTCTTGTGAAAGTATGGGACAATGTAATCATGTGGGCCCATCTCTCTCTCTCTCTCTCTCTCCATTGCATTCTAATGAACACCATCAGCATGAAAGCATATGGGGTAGATTTCTGTGAGGCTGGGTCAGCACAAGGTCATAATGACTTCTACTCTTCACCCAGGCAACACTGACATGAGGTCATAATGGCTAGCCTCTCTACTTCAGGCTGGAGCAATATGATGAGGCCGTAAGAGCTTTTCAGGGATGCAATGGGAGATTTCTTCCCAAAGTAAACAGGGTGTTCCCTCAGGATTGCAGCAGAAAACAGGGGGGGAGGGGTTCAGAATCTCTTTCTATGCCTGCTTTGATCATTCCTAGAATGAATAGTTGTCCTTTCATTCACTTCTGCCATAGTTACAGGTACATCTGACAAGGACAAGGGACACATCCATTTCAGTGGTTATTGTCAACTTGTGAGAAGGACACAGAGCTCTCACCTTGTTGTCTTTTCACTAGCAGGGAAAGACCTTCTGTTCAAGCAGGCTTTTGACAAGTGATTGGCTGTTACGAAGGGCTTTTAAATGGGATACCTTTGTTACCTTTTTAAATGTTTTGTTTAACTTCATGTTTTGACATGCAATGTTTAATGGATTTTTAATATTGTAGTTCATTATATTTTACCTGTCTGTTTTTCCGTAAGCCACCTTGAGATCATTTAACAAGAGAAAGGTGAGATACAAATCCAATTAATGTATGAATGAATGAATATAATTATGTTGACCTGGTGTCCTCCAAACATCATTCCTTAGTACCTGTCTAGCTCAATGCCTAGGAGGTTTGTCTGTCCCCTTCGATTATCTGAACTCTACTTCCATCTGTACCTACTGTTAGATTGATATACACATGTCTTGTTACTATTTTGTGCCACCATGTTGCCTCTGACCCATGGCAACCTTATGAATGAGTGTGAACTGCCACTGCCACCCCTTCCATGGTGAGCCTTTGCAGAATCTTTGTATCGTGCAACCTCATGTAGTGCTTTTATCGCTTAGAATTGTCTATTTTCATTTTATTGTATTTTTCTATGATTGTTAGCCATCTAGAGTGGTCCTCACCCGACCAGATAAGCAACCTAGAGTGGTCCTCACCCGACCAGATAAGCAGGATATAAATAAATAAATAAATAAATAAATAAATAAATAAGATTTATTGACACAGGGAAAGGGAGAAAATAACTTGCGCCAAATGTTTTTTTACAGAATCAAGTCCAGCTTGACCCTGAACAGAAATAGGCTTTCTGGACCAAAGACCCTGACAGGCAGCAGGTATGTAGCCCTTTACAGACCTAGGGCCTCCTGGGTTGCAAATTAAAAAGTCCTTAGTGGGACTAGGACCCTTCTGGCTGGGTGTAACACAGTTCTTGTCAGATCCAGGCTCCGCCAAGTTGGAGACAGAAGAAGTCCTTGTGGACTCAGGCTCCTCTGGTCAGGTAGAAGACAAGTCCCCTGTTGGGTGCAAGGCTTGGAGGCAGAGATCAGGCTGAGCGTGGTAGCTGGAGAATCAAGATGAGAGCAGGGGACTGGTTGTTTTTCTGTTTTGTCCCTAGCAGGGCCTGGTGTCTCTCTAGCTTTCCATGTGCATTGACTTTTGGAACCTCAGCCTGCTTCATCTTAACCTGGCAGTTTCTTCAAACATTGTGGCTGGTCTACTTTACTGCTGCTCAGCATTGGCTTCTCCTCCCTCAAGCACAGGCCATTATTCCATGTCTTCTGAGTATTTGGGTCCACCTTTTATCTCCAGAGCTGTGTCTCTGAGGGAGGCAGTGGGTTTCTCCTTGGCCTTGCCCCAGGGTCTAAGGGTAGCAAGTGGAGGAACTGTGCCCATGGTGGTGATCTGTTTACTACTCTGGCCAGCTGCAGCCGATGCAGGCTCACAAAGATTGATTTCCAAAATGTCCTGTCCTCAACAGCTCTGCTCATCTCTTGAAAACTCAAGCCTGTGGTTTCCTTTGGGGAGTCAATCTATCTCATATTTGGTCTTCCTCTTTTTCTTCTGCTTTCAACCATTTCCGGCATTATTACCCTTTCCAGAAAATCCTGCCTTCTAATGATGTGCCTAAAGTGAGGCAAATGCCAGTTTCTACATTTTTTCTTACAAAGGTAGATCATTCTTGATTTAGGACCCACTCATTTGTCTCTCTGGCAGTGCAGGGTATCTGCAAAGCTCCCCTCCAGAATTACATTTCAAACAAATCATTACTCTTAGTGTCTGCCTATCACTCTCATCTTCTGTCCTTCCATTCTTGTTTCTGAAAGGAAAAGTCTTTCTTGTCCTATATGTTCTCATGGTGCATATGTCTACCTAATCAGGAATAGAGTTTAGGCTTTTTCTCTCTGGAATGCAATATTGTATATAATTGCTTCTCCTGCTTTATTGTGTGACTAAAAACCACTGGGCTAGTCAGGTATAATCTAAACCAAATCCCTTATGAATACACAGTGGAAGTGAAGAACAGATTTAAGGAACTAGATTTGGTGGACAGAGTGCCTGAAGAACTATGGATGGAGGCTTGTAACATTGTACAGAAGGCAGCAACAAAAATCATCCCAAAGAAAAGGAAAGGCAAGAAAGCAAAGTGGCTGTTCAACAAGGCTTTACAAATAGCAGAGAAGAGAAGGGAAACAAAATGCAAGGGAGATAGGGAAAGTTACAGAAAATTGAATGCAGACTTCCAAAGAATAGCAAGGAGAGATAAGAGGGCCTTCTTAAATGAACAGCGCAAAGATATAGAGGAAAATAATAGAAGGGGAGAAACCAGAGATCTATTCAAGAAAATTGGAGATATTAAAGGAAACTTTTGTGCAAAGATGGACAAAAATGGTAGGTACCTTACAGAAGCAAAGATATCAAGAAGAGGTGGCAAGAATACACAGAGGAATTATAGCAAAAATATCTGGATGTCCCAGACAACCAGATAGTTTGGTTGCTGACCTTGAGCCAGACATCCTGGAGAAGGAAGTCAAGTGGACCTTAGAAAGTGTGGCTAAGAACAAGGCCAGTGGGTGTGATGGCATTCCAGTTGAACATTTTTAAAATCTTAAAAGATGATGCTGTTAA